TGGCTCCGCTGCCGCCCCGCTGATGCAGAGGGGTCCCCGGGGTGGCACCCGCCGCCCGGGCTTTTAGGGATTACACAAGCCCTGGTCTGTGGAACTAAACTGATTCTTATACAGGTTTGCGACCTGTATCCTTTTATCACAGTAACACCTGGATGCCACATCATTCCTCCCACCATTCCTTTATCTTTTCATTAATGTTAGTGTAACCACCTGTTTCATAAGGGGCAGCTGTTGCTTGTCCTTAGCTGTGTTGCTAATCAGTTGCTGATGAAAATCAGCATTTAACAGGAGGGTTGATTTTTTTTCTTTTAGCTTTAAATAGCCAACCTTTCACTTAGTGGGAATGAGGGTGCTTTTTCCTCTCTTCAGCTGCTAGTTTTCACAAAATTGGTAGGACTGTACGAGGCTAGTATTTGCAGTCAGGGATGAGGTGAGAATGAATTTAGCCAATAGGCTGAAAAGTTATGAAAACACATACAAACAGTCAAATAGGAAAGCTGCGTAAGCTTCATTTCCTTAAGAAGTGAAAGTAACCTCATCTCAATTATTCAGAGAAATGGAAAGTTGGAAAGGCAATGGTGCACAAGGAAAAGTTTGCTTCCTCAGTGCTGCATAGCAGAATTGGAAAAAGAATCCATAACTTGACAATGTGCTGTTCTCTTATATCATCTGTCCAAATTCTCTCCATGCCTGCAAGCAGACATAATGGACCACTCCAAGCAAAAACAATTTCTCGCCATAGACTCATGTTGCTCTTCTTTACTCCCTCTTTACCATTGACAGCATGTATTCTCCACCTGTCTAATTAGGTTAGTCAGGATGAAAATTATATCAAATGATTAAAAAAGGAGTAACAAAATCAATGATTTACAATTATATGGTAATTCAAGCTCTGAAATGACAATTTACTTACTTTGGGTCTTTACTTCTAGAGAACTGAAAACACCTACAGGCTGTAACAGTGAGGGGGGGACTGAAGGACAGCATAAGACCCTGTAAAAGCTCGTTACTTTAAACTGGCAGAATCAAGTATGACTCCATGATTCCTTTGGATACCAATAATATCAAACTACAGTAAATGTGGGTGATTTTTTTTGTGTTTATTGTATTCCTCTTCTAATTACTTAGTTTGCTTATATAAACTTTCTTGTGAATTCCTCACTCCTGAGTTCCAGTAACTCCTAATATAAATGGCCATATTGTATGTTGGCTCCCTCTATTACAACAAATACTATTAATATTTTCTCATTTTCTCAAGCCCTTTGCTCTCAGTCTTGGACTTCATTGCTCCATTTTACTTCCCTATCTGTTTTCACGGTATCTGAAGCAGAATACAACTGTACCACAAACCAAAATGAAAATTCAAAATGAGAAAAAAAAGTGATTGAATTAATATGATGTTTGCCAACTAACACATTACCATATGCTGCATCTTATTCTGCTCTTCTTTATGCCTCAGTGTGTAGTCTGCAAATGAGCTGGATATAGAATTTGTAGAGGAGTACCCTTTACAGTCAGTATTAATACACTGGAGAAGCACATCAGAAAAAAAAATTAATCTTGTAGTAGCATTTAGGATGACAAAAACAGAAATGTAGGCCTGACAGCCTAGCATTGATCCTGGGCAGAGTAATTAATTAGTTGATACAGAATTTTCATTAATCAGAACTAAAGATGGGTGATGCTCTGCCAATCAAATAGGAAAACAGAAGTGAGATCTTGTAGGATCGATTTGATAGCATTTATCTGTAACATCAAGAGAAAGTTCTGATAATGAGGTTACCACTGACTTCTTAGAACTTCTGTAGATAACTGACTTGGCCCCACACAGTATTTTGATGAAGAAACCGGGTGGTATGAAATTAGCATGCCACTATTATAATAGGTACAAAAGAGTCTTGTTAAAATACAGATATAAACTCAGCTGCTAGGGGATAAATTAGGGTCAGTTACTCTATTATAAAGTTTTTCATAAAAAGTTCTGGGTAAAACAAGTTATTTGTTTATTCTAATCTTTTTGGTGCTGATAAGTTATTTAACCATGTGTTTGAGAATCTTGGAATTGTTAATTCATGTATTTTCTGACCCTATTTTTTAATACTTGCAATAGCAGTCTTCAATGCATCAGGAACTCTTGAAGATACTCTTTTATGGCACAGAGATTATTCTGGCTTTTCCTTAGGGAATTGTATCAGCAAAAGACCTGATTATATTTATCTCATTTAGATAATATTTATTCTTTTCATATCCTGCTTTGTTGCCATCTTAGAATTTTAATTAATACTTTCTGCTTGCAGTATTCCTTTATACCCATTCGTAGCCGTATTTGTTTGTTTCTGCTTTTTATGGGATTCCTTTTTTGCTTTTTCAAACTCAGTATCTTCCATTTGAGGCAAGGTATTGTCATCCTGTGTTTATCTTGACCTTGCATCACATCAGTTTGCCATGATGCTTTCTTTTCCAGTAAGTACCGTCACTATTCTTCAGAATAACTTCCCAAAAGGTCTTATTTATACGCGTGGGTTTTCGAGGATGAGAAAAATTGGCAAAATTCAGTTTATATGGTGAAAAAGAAAATCTAAGTTTCCCCAACTTCATTGGATTTCACACAAGAAAACATGTTCTGGAAGCAATTTTAGTTGTTGCTTCTTGACCATTTTCAGTAACAGTTAACCTTCCTGAAGAACAGTATTTGATATTATACCCTATTTTACCTAACACCATTATTTCAGTCTAATGCTTTTCTCTACAGGTTTTCAAAATGCTTTTCTCTACTGGTTTTCAACTATTGAATAGAAATCTGAGAACACTCAGGAGGTGTTTTTCCTAAAAATTTTGGAATTATTAATGGAAACATACGTGAAGTTTCATCCTAATAAATTGTCATGATGGAATACTCACTAGTTCTGTGTTTGATTTTATCCAGCTGTCTCAATCTGCTT